AAATAATTCAATCAATATAAAATTAAAAAAATCAATACAAAATCAATCAAATTATAAATTCTGATTAAATGTTTTACAAAATTTAAAGATCAAAATTAAAAAAAAATAATATTTTTTTTATAAATATATAATATTTTTTTCTTTTATATTAATCACATCAATTTTAAATAATAATTATTTTAATTTATTTTTATCTTAATAATTATTCTTCTTCTGTTCATGATAATAATTTTTTAAATTATTATTATTAATAAATTTATTATATTATAAAAATATTATTTTATTGAATTTAATGTAATTCAAGTAAACCTTTAAATCTTAATCAACTATATCAGTCTAATTTTAAAATTATAGTTTATAATTAACATTAAATTAAATCATATATTTAAGGTTTCTTATTCGGTGGTATAAATGTTAAAATAGACAATTCGGTCAACTTAATTTGTCCTTACTAATTAAGTAAAAAAAATTAATGATATAATATGATGTATATTTTTACATAAAACAATTATCCCAATTTCAAGTCAATTGGTTAATGGGTCAATTTGACTTTTTTTTAATATTAACATATTTATATCAAATTATTTAATTAAAAAATATTTAAATTAAAAATATATTTTTAAAACTTAAATTATATTAATAAAATTATTTTTTATTTAAAATATAATGATTTAATATATAAATTATAACACAATATTAAAATAAGAATTAATAACTTACTTTTTCCACTATTATTATTTATTTTTAATAAATTATTAATCTAAAATAGTAATTAATTTTAATAATTAGATGTTAAAATAAATTATTGTTAAAAATTTATTCTAATATTTACTGTAAAAATAAGTAAATCCTTTATTATATTAATTTATTATACATATATATTTTTTAATAAAATAATACTATTTTTATTTTTATTTAAAAAATTATTATTATTTTATAAAATGAACTAACTTATAAATTTATAGATAATCTGATTTAAATCCATATAAGTCATGATCTAAATAAACAATACTAAAATATATCTAATTTAATTTAAATGGTAATTTTTTTTAACTTAACCTAAATTATTTTTTTAATCTTTCGTACCGTTTCATTGAATTAATCTTACTTTACCACCCTTACATACTGGCATCTTTTGAGCTAAATATAAACGAACAAACTTATAATACTTGTAAAGACTAATATTTGAATTAGAGTAATGAATTAAATAGAGTAATGTATAATTGTTTAATTAGGTGTATTTAATTTTACTAGGTACTTGAGTTTGTATTCGTTTCTAAATAAGGTATTTTACCATTACAAGAAATTTAATCATAAAAATCTAATTAATTAATATATTAATATTCATATTATTACTTATAAGTTATGGAGAATTTTTTTGCATAAATTCTTTCCAGAAAATATTATAAGAAAAATGAAATGGGTTTTTACAAGTAAAATTTGTTTGTACATAAATTAATTTGTATAAGTTTTATCATATAATTTCTTTAATTTGTTTTTAATTTTTTTATGAAAAATCAAATTCATTTTTTAAAAATAGAGAAATTCATTTAAATCGGCCTTAAATTTATATTATGCATGTTTCTTGCCCAGTAAATTTTAAATTTAACATTTTTCATCTCGGTTGTTGTCACATTTCCATATTCTTTTATAAAAAGCATTCTTTCGTAAAAGCATTCTTTTATACAATCAAACTTACAAGTGACTTTAACATAGTTTTTGGTTAACAGTTGCACATAAATATTTAATTAAACAGTAGAAATAAATCGAAGGACCCAGCACAAAAACTTAACTAAAAATATCAAATAATTCAAGAATTTACCTAATAACTTAACAACCTAACCGTACTGATATAATAAATAACAAATTAAGTGAGAAAGAAGAAAAACATACTATTCATATGTATGAGATACGAGAAGATCCAAGAAAAATCAATGACATTTTATTTATGTTATTTTTAGATTTGATATTATCACGGTCATATAAATTTAGGTCGATCCTTTTAATTAGTATAAATTTACCTTTAAATGTAAATTTACATTGAGATATAAATTCATATTAGACATATAATAATTAGATGCAAAATAGTTTGATAAAGTTAAAAAAAAATTAAGTTGATTTTACAAATTTTTAAATATGTATTATGTTTTTATTTAGTAACCAAAATATGTATAAAAATATTCATATATATATAACTTAAAAACCCGTTCAGAGGAAGAAGAAACATTTCATGAAATGAAATGTAAAATTTACGTCAAACTTTGAAGGGGTTGACGTATTTTTTATATCAAATGAGATCCTAGTCAATGTAATAAAAGATTTTACATCTCATATGTTTGATGTAAATTTTCCTTTATTATTTTAAAAAATGTCACTACATTTTTTAAAGTTAGTTATTTTATAATCTGACAAAAATGTAACATAAAAAGCCTATGTTATACTAGTAAATTTCAATGTATTACTTCCTTTCAATACATAATGTTAAGAACTCTTAACATTCAAGTTTGTTTTTGGATCTACCATTAGAGTTAATCTTAATGTTTCTCAAGAACTTTAAATTCAATATTTATTTAATTAGTTTGATACATATTATCTTATTAATTATATCCGATATGTTATTATTTCATATAATATCTTATATAATTTATTATATTTTGGATCCTAAAAGTTAACTTGACGTTAAAGTGTTTTCTCGTATGAGTACTTACTCTTTTAAAAGAAAGTTATTTTCAATCATCTTGAAGTTATAACTCAAAATACGATCTACTAGTTTTCTCAATTCAACCTTACACACCTTTACTCACTTTCATCAACCGTAAGAACAAAATACAAATTCATATAATTGCTCAAAGAAACATATTTATGTTGTAGTGACTTTTAATTCGTATTTAATTTATATGTTATTATTTGATCTTTATTTCTTTTATCAATTTTTATGTTTTATTGCCTCTTGATTTGTATTGGTTAACTAATTTGAATTGCTAGTATTTTAGTTTAAATTCTTAAGAATACCACAACTAAAACATTGACTAAAACTATCACTTGTAGACCTAAGAGAAAACCAACCAAATATTTTAAAATTAGCATTTAATTAATTAATTTTAATGGTATATTGCAAAAGAAAAAGTTCAAGAAGCATTTAAAAACTATACTTATAATGATCATTCAAAGAAAAGAAAAATTATTTCATGAATAGATGACAACTATTACAAGTAGTAATAGAAAGAAGTTGAGATCAGGTAAGACAAATATTTCTTTAAATATGATTATATACCAAAACGTTAGTTATAATTATACTTATGAAAATTTATTTAAAATATGATAAATTTTTATGGACATATTTTCCATGGATACAAATATCATAAATATATTAGACTCATATGAATATCATATTTTATCAACTTGATTAACACACTAAGATAGTTAACTTTTTATTAAAACAATATTATGTATATAATCATGACTTTTTAGTTAAACATTAAGATAGTTAACTAATAATTCTTGTATACTATAGATGTTTACAATAATTTTATAGAATTTTAATAAAACTAATATTAAATATTAACTATCATACATATTTATGATTGTTATCCAATGTAAATATAAAATTTGCATTTTGCTGTACTGGGTTGATTGAATATGCAAATAATGAGATAAAATTTTAGAATAGATTACTTATTTAAAAAACAAAAACCAAAACTAAAAATATGACTACGGTTAATACCATAATCGTCATCGTAAACATGTTTAATACAAGAATTATTATTAAATTCGTGGTTATATATCATGATCTGAAAATAATTATTTATAAACACTTGTCATTATATGTTATATATGATGTAATTATTTATAAATAACTTTTGCCATATAATTCATGTACAACGATGGTCCCAACTCATTATAATATCTCTCATATATATAACGTCAATTTCATCAATGACAAGTTTGTAATCATGATAAACTATTTTTAATTATCGTTAAATGTCGTTGCTCCAGTGATAGTATATATAACAAGAAACAAAAATTATAAATATTATGCTTAAATATTTTTATTCCTTATAAAATTAATAAGTTTTAATTTTGATTCTTATAAAAAAAAAATCTTGTTTATCCCTATAAATTTTAACCAATGATTTATTTCTTAAAAAATTGTGAATTTTAATTTTAGTCCTTTGATTTTTCATCTTTCTTGAATTTCAAATCACTATTTTTAGTATATAATATTTATTTTAAGGTAGATACACCACATTTATTTTATGGACACTTAAGAATTTATTTAAGATGTGACTTGGAATTATTACTTAACATTTTCTTCAACACCTAAACAACTAAATAGTGTTATATAATAATAGTAGGATCAAAACTCTAATTTTACAGAAATTAAAAACATATTTAAGTCTATATACTGTAAATATATAAAATAATAAAAAATAATTTTTGATTAAATCTTTGAAATAACGATTATTAATGTGTAATACCTTTTGAAAAGAAAATATGATATATTCAATATTTTGCGTTTTCCTCTTTGTACAACTTAATCACAATTATGAAAATAATATTTTTTGGTTTAAATTTGAACATAATACTTGTAGTTAGGAGAATATGTGGAAGTGTACTTGTATTATTAAATCTTAATAATAAAATTTTAATTTGGTTTAGAACACACATGTATCACTTTTCTAACATTATATTAAATTATTAAAACCTACTTTTAAAATGCATTTCATATATTTTATCCAAAACACAAAGCCTACATAGAAGTCTAAAAAGTAAAAACAGAATACTTATTCTATTCATATTTAAAACATATAACTCAGCGAAACAAATCTTAAAAATAATAACCAAGCCATGGTCTCCAACCTTTAATGATGTCTCAGAAAACAGGACCAAACCGCAGATACATAGTAAAACAACAAACCAGAAAGATAAATATAATGTCAATCCTTAAAACTCAACCTAACACAACAGAAGATTTGAGTGAATTAAAGTGTGGCAATGACTCAGATTGGTGCACCGCAAGAGTAAGTGATGTCACACCCTTCTCCAATGTTGAGTGTATACTGATGCACAGGTCTGATAAGGAAGGGTGGCAAGCGAGCCAGAATTTCACACACGCATTGGTTGTCCACTTCCTTGGCCCACCGGCAACAGTTATCTTCATCAGGGGTCTGGTGGTGCCTATGCCCATGTCTGTGGTTATGTCTGTGACTGTGATTGTGGTGGCTGTTTCCGTGATCCTCCTCTTCATCATCTGGGGGTGGAGGTGATTCTGGTGGCACTCCAGGGCTGAAAGGCAACCTCGAACATGCATAGTTCACTAATGCAAATTGTGATACACAAAGTGGACGTGGAGCCTTAGTGATAGGAATTATTTCGCTCTCCATCTTTGGCACAAATGCTAACAATGCCAGAGCCACTGTTATTATGTTGAAAATCTTCATGATGTTGTTTTCTCTTTTTGAATGTTCATATGATATGATATATATGACCCCTTTGAAGGTGTTTATATACTTGCGTCTTCCTAGGATGTTTGTTTGTTTCTAACGGAGTTGTTTTTCTTTGTGTGTTGGTATTATGAAATGTGTTCTCCAAGAAGTTTCTCATGTCTTTTGTGTGATGGAGTTTCTAGGTGAATGGCCAAGGTTCTACTCCAATTAACCACCTACCTTGTTCCTGAACTATTTTTTTAGTAGTTAATCTGTTATTGTTAAGGAGTGTTGTTAAAATGGTGCTTTCAGAATCAACATATGCAGAATTCATGAAGGCTAGACAAAAAGTCTTGTATATGTAGTAAGTGTCTTTTAGAAACAATGTAGTCATAAACTATGTAGTCATGCATGCGGCAGGGGTTAACGAGCGAGAAACAGCATTTCTATGCGTATTGCATTGCATGACAATTTGTGGGAAAAGAAAATGGTGCAACACCACATATAGAGAGGTAAATCCAATGGTGCAGAAAGAAAAGGTATTATTATTAAGAGTCAACCCCTACATATTTTCCTACTCAAATGGTTGTTAACTAAGTTGAACTAAATAACGGACCATAATTCATGCACGAAACATTTCATTGGACGACATTAGCATTTCACTGTGCTTTTCCAAGTTTATACTTCCTATTAAACCACACGAAATCAGTTTTAAAAGAAATATTCTTTGTCACAATACCAATACACCCACCCAAAATGATTAAAACTATCGTTCCACTTCATGTTTTAGCAAATACATATATGAGATGAGTTTACTTAACAAAACCTAAAGTATCATAAATGTTGATTAGGTTACTCTTTCTTCTTTTTGTTCAATTCCAAGTACCCTTTTTTTTTTGCTTGCAATAGTGAGAATTCCTGGGTTGGTGTGACTGGTAGATTAGTAGTGGAGTCGGCCCTAGACTTTAGATCTAGGGTACGTGTCGAACTTCCCCCAACTATTTTCTACTATTTCTAACAAAATAGTTACTCCTCAACAAACACCATTTAAAAGTTACGAACTTTCCCTCTAGAATTAACTCATATATTTAAAGAAAATAACAACCAACTTTAGCTCATTTAAGGTTAGACTAAATATTATCTTGCATACTAAATTATCAGTTTAGTTTCGACCACAATAGTGTTGATTTAATCTTTGTGTATAATATATTTTTAATATATGCTAACGTTAATAATGAACAGAGTACCATTTAGCACAAAATTAAATAAAGGGCCCGGTATCCACAATAAACTGGGCCGGGGCCCAACACAATAAATGCGTGCCAAAAGTTACGGTGCTACAGGTAACGACATAAACCATTTACGTAACAATGACACGATAAAACATGTTCATAGGATGGAACGTACATTTACAGTTTCTTAATATTATTGTTATTTTATTGTTATTATTATTATTATTATTATTATCGTCATCGTCCTGTTTTTTAGTTTTGTTTCTTCGTTACATTAGATCAAAGTGAGTTTTTTTGCTTTCCTGAACTGTAAGCAGCAGAGCATGTTGCATGACCTGAGGCTTGGTATGGGGAAGTTCCGACCAGAGAGGTTTGTGTACGATGCTGAGGATATTCCATTTGGGACACTGTCGTGGTTCCTTTATGCTGGAATTTCTTGCTTGCTTGTTCTCTTCGCGGGGATTATGTCTGGTCTCACTCTTGGATTAATGTCTCTGGGTCTCGTGGACCTTGAGATTCTCCAGCGGAGTGGTTCCTCCACCGAGAAGAAACAAGCTGGTACCACCTTACCTAACATTCTCAACCAAATATAATACTATATTACAGTAACCTCGTTGTTTTGTTGTTTTCTTTTTTGACTTTTTGGATCAAACTTGCAGCTGCTATTTTGCCGGTTGTTCAAAAGCAGCATCAGTTGCTTGTCACCTTGCTTCTTTGTAACGCCTGTGCCATGGAGGTATTTGAAACTTGGTTTTTAGAATTTCTAATCCTTGATGAAATGGGTTTCGCTTCTTTTTTTTTTTTTTTTTTTTTTTTTTTTTTTTAATATCTGATTACCCTGCATAATTTTTTTTATATAAACGGAAATGTTAGCGAAAGTAAATATGTTCATATGTTAGTTTTTTTTTTTTTTTAAACCAGAGTCAATTTGGTTTTATTGAAGAAATTGTATTGCCGGAACATTTTAAATGTTGGTCTTTGCTTCAGAGGGTTTAGTTTAATAGTTCAACCAACCAACAATATTGTCGATTCTTTCAGTAACCAAAAGGCAAACGGTGCATGACATAGTACGGTACCTTAAATTTAGAAATCGGACGACATGTTTTGCTGGCATATGCCCACGTAAATTATATAAGAGCAATTATTTAAAGAAGATTGAAACTTTTCTGCAGAATCATTTCTTATCTCTGTCAAAGTCATCTTTTTTCTGTATACAACTCTAACAAAAATACAACGCTAATGAAGTGAGAACTTAGGGTGAAGAAACTGAGAAATCTATGTTCTGATTTTTTCGATCAGTTTTAGAATAGACCTATACTTAATCTGTACAAATTTCTACACATATATATATGCTAAATATGTTGAACAAGTTTATAGTGTAGAGGATTTGAAACTGATGGCTCCTTTATTCCCCTTGTTTAACATTACTTTTTGGTAGCTGATGTTATAAAAAATGCTGAAAAAGCCAATGTATAATAGATATCAACATAGAACCAATATTAACATTACTTTTGGGTAGCTGATGTTATAACAACTAATGATTATTGGTGGATCATTCATTGTTTGTGTTTCCTTTCCTGCCGTTTTGATTTTGCAGGCACTTCCTATTTACCTTGACAAAATTTTTCATCCATTTGTAGCAGTACTGTTATCTGTGACATTCGTTCTTGCTTTCGGAGAGGTACAATATTTCTCCAATCCAATTTGCTTGCATCATACACAAGGGTTTAAGCAGGATATTTCACTGACTGTTACAATGCCATTTGGGCATAGGTTATCCCACAAGCTATATGTACAAGATATGGACTCTATGTTGGTTCTAACTTTGTGGGTCTTGTACGTGTCCTGATGATCATTTGCTATCCAATTGCTTACCCTATTGGAAAGGTGAAGACTACTATGCTTGTCTAAATTCTAATTTTAATTGAAGAAATTATATGCTAACAATACCATGCTCCAAGCCCAATATATCATAAAGGTGATACACAACTTCATCTACCCATTACGATTTTGCTTATTGTTTTTATGATTTTGATTATGTAGTGATATGTTTAAATAGATTTTTCTTTCAGTTTTCCTAATTATGCCCTATGGTAAAAGGGTGGTGTTATGACAATTTGGATCAGTTTATCTAAGGTTGAACGATTCAGTAGTTATATTAAGCTTTTTTTTTTTTTTTTTTTTTTCAAGGCATCGTCTATATAGTTCATAATAGCGGACATTTTTATTTAAACAAATTGTGGCTTTTGTAGATCTTTACATTTATACTTCCAGGTTCTGGATGTTTTACTTGGACATAGTCATGCATTGTTTAGGAGAGCTCAGCTGAAAGCCCTTGTTTCAATCCATAGCCAAGAGGTAATCTGTCTCAATTATCACCATTTTGTACAGCTTCCTATTCAAATTGAGCAGCCACTAGATTTTCATGAAAAAAATTTCTGTGAATGGTTTTTTAATTTATTGCCATGTTAAAAAATAAAAATTGATACATATTATAAAGGAATGCTGCTAATTTCACCATGATAAATTTTCATGTTCTTCAATTATTTTCTGTCTCCCTTAACTTCATTTTCTGGACCATTTAAGGCTGGTAAAGGAGGTGAACTCACTCATGACGAGGCAACAATTATCAGTGGAGCACTAGATCTCACGGAGAAGGTAGGTACTACTAATTTGGAGAAAGGCATCCTGATAGTTCTATCTCTTGCCATCTATCTGTAACAAAGTTTAACAATGTCATTTCCACATAAAGACTCCCTACATCAGAATATATGAATGTCATGAAATTTGCTTCAGATACACCTGGAAATGTAAAAGTATACTCTGCCAAAGAGATAATGTATGCCCCTATATCTATGATGTTTTGGCTCTGTATGAAGCTGCAGAAGAAGATTCTATCATGAGTTCTTAAGCTAGGAGGGCATTTTATTTGGACAAAGATGTAATTGTTAGTTAACTTTTTGAATTTGAAATCTACATTTGTATGTATGGTCCTCGCTTCATCATCCATGTCAGTTCCTTTGCTTAACTACCGGACATGTTCTGAAAAGCTTTAGCTGGGTTCTCTTTATTGCTTGACAATAAAATCCCAGTATAGAAGTCTATGGATGTGTTATAATTTGCGTTCTCCTTCAGGCCAATCCTCTGTTTCAGTGTCAACATAAATATAAAATTCAGTTATATCTATTGTATTGGCTTGGTTTTATAATAAAAAGTATTTCTACATTATTATGCAGACTGCTGAGGAGGCTATGACACCAATTGAATCTACATTTTCCTTGGATGTTGCTTCCAAGTTGGACTGGTGCGTTTGTTTCTATTAGCTTTTCTGTTGAAGGCATAGTTATTTCTAACCGAAGTATTTTGGAATGTGGATTACTATTTACCTCACTTTATCAGTCTCTTATTAAACTAAACTTGTGTATTTGAATTATATATGTGAATATTTTTCCCATTCTTTTTCTTTTCCCATGATTTAAATTGAATTGGCACAGTATGTCAAATCAATGAGTTTATAAAAGGTAGATATGTTGCAGCTCTCCAGTCCGGACAGAAATTTCTCTGTTGTCTGGAATCTAGAGTTCTCTTGGAATTTCTAACTACTCTCACAATCGTGAATATATATATATATATACATAGTGAACCGAATGTAATTGACTACTAGTACCAAAGGCTATGTTTGGATGATGAAAAGGGATGGTTTGAAGTGAAACAAAATGGAATGACATTTTGTTCCATTGTTTTGGTTGTTTAAAATAGGATGGAATGAAATGGAACTTGATCAAATGCATTGCACTGAATTTCATTTCCCCTGATGCTCCTTTTTTTCTTTTTAATTTCCCTTCAACTTTGAATGTATATATTGACTAATTATTTTATATTATATATTATATTACAAAAAGGATTATATTATATTGCTTAGTTTATGATGTTACAAGTAACATTAATAAGTGATACTTCATATATATTCTTAAGTACTAAATACTTTATTTGCTTATGCATATGATATGTTTGTATTTTATAAAATGCATTGCTTGATTCAGGGATATCATATTCCTTATTTCTCTGGACTGATAAAAAAGCTATCCTTTTCTGCTTAATCACAGGGAAGCAATTGGGAAAATTCTTGCACGAGGCCATAGTCGAGTTCCTGTATACAGTGGAAACCCCAAAAATATAATTGGCCTCTTACTAGTGAGTTTTTATATATAGTGAATTCAAAATGCTTAAAAAATTGTTTTTCTGGAACTAAATGCTAAGAAATATTTTACCACTCTTAATTTGCTAGGTTAAAAACCTTCTTACTGTAAGAGCTGAAACAGAGACCCCAGTTAGTGCTGTTTCCATCAGGAAAATTCCTAGGTTTGACCAATGTGCCTTATATTTAGTCTTTCGAACTCATTCATTCAACTAAACTATTCCTCATTACTAATCCAGGGTTCCAGCAGATATGCCTTTATATGATATCCTCAATGAGTTTCAAAAAGGAAGCAGTCATATGGCAGCCGTAGTCAAGGTTACACAAGAGAGAAATGACCCTTTAAAAACTGGTGACATTGAGAAATCCAAGGATAAAGAAGCCATGAAGAATAGTTCTGAATTAACTATGCCATTGTTAGCCAAGTCTTATGGGACATCAGAAAAAGTTGTCAATATTGACAAACCCTCTTGGCATGCTGCAGACCAACAATTTCAAAAGGATGGCACTGCAACAAATGGGGTTCACCACTCACTTGACAATGTTGACGACGGGGAGCAAGTTATTGGCATCATTACCCTGGAGGACGTGTTTGAAGAACTCCTTCAGGTAGCATCCGCTTGCACTAATCACAGCTCGGTTATCCACTTTTATCATACCTGTAAGATTATCTCAGTTACATGGGATTGTTGTTCATTATTGGTGCATAAAAAACAAAAAACGATTTGTTTTCCTTAAAATGAAAAAAAAAAAAATTCTTACAATTTTCATCTTTGTAGGAAGAAATTGTGGACGAGACTGATGTGTATATAGATGTACATAGAAGGTGATCTAAACTTTCTAGTTTATCTTTCTTCATCTTTATTTTCCCATAGCTTTTAAGTGGATACTGAATATATAAATAAGGAATGCATGATGATTTTGGCAGAATACGTGTGGCGGCTGTAGCAGCTGCTACATCTGTGGCACGGGTTCCTTCTTCCCGAAAGTTGACAGGTCAAAAGCCTGTAGTAACACAGAATCAGGTTTATAGTTACACCTCAATCTTTCTAAATTCAGGATGGAATGGATGGATGACAATTATGGATCTATTTCCTCTAAGTTTGGTAGAATTTTGAAAGAATTAATATTTTTTAAAAATAATGTAAAAAATGGGTTTGCATTTGGAAATGATGTCTTAAAAGCGACTTTGAATAATTTTTTTTGTATAAATATATGCATGCTTATACAAATGTTGCAAGTCTCACAGTTGAAACTAATCCTACTAATGTTGAAAGTTTGACATATTGTTGCTTTTCCTAGGGGAATTAAGCGATCAAGTGAAAGTTTGACCAAGTTTGTGAAGGATGATTTAAATTTAAGAAGAATATCATCATTTCAGGATCTTTTAAATCAGACCACCCTTCCTGTTTATAGTTGTGTGGCCATTGGTGCGTTTTGATGGCATAACACAGCAAGGAGATGTTTGTCATACTTTTTGTTTTTGGAAGTCTTTTTATGAACATGTAGGTCCAATAGTATTTCGCAAAATAAATTATTATCTTGACATTTTTGTTTTCTTGGCAATTTTGCACGAAGCAACCTCACTTCTTGCCTATCATATCCATTTCATGCTACGCACTAAGTGCTGCATGTAATTAATGTTTTGCTACTGTATTATCTGTCACTAAGCTTTGATGTTTGGAGTCAGATATAGTATGATAAGGATGATGGTCATGGTGGCAAAAGAAAATTAGGATATGAAAAATGCCTGTTTCTCTTAGCAGACATATACCAGTTTCTTGGCTTTGGCTGTCTCTTCATTTATTAGAAGAAAATTGCTGTGTCGCTCTCTGTTCACGTGAACCGTTCTATGCATCATTCACCAAATCTGATACTAGTAGTAGGCTTACCTTTCATATCTTTTTCTTTGCTTAGTGTAAGTTTTTTGTCACTTATATTTATTAAAGTAAACCTGTTAGAGGTGGACATTTCTATCTCCCCAAAATTACTTTCTCATTCTAGTTTTGTGAGTTTGGAGTTATTCAATTGAGTAATGAAGCAATAATCAAAAAGGTAATTGGGATGATGATATACCCAAGATAGAGTTTGTCTCAAAAAATAATTGGATAAGAATTTCCAAAGGAGAAAAATAAGAAAAAAAATAAAATGAGTTTATTTATAGCTATAGTTTATACATTAGTAAATATTTACTTGATTGTTTTCATGGAAATCTTTATAGAGAAATTTGACCAAAATATATTCCTGCAATTAGGCATGACGAATCCAAACTCTTGAGTATATGAGAAAAAATCATTTTGAATGAGTGTAACACGTAAAATGCAATGAACAGTAAAATAACAATTGAAACAGAGACAACCAATGGAGCAGCGAGATGGAATTGTATTGAGTTTGGTTTACAAGGAATTAGAAATAGAAATCATAACAAGATAAAAAGTAGAATTCCAGACGTCCCATGCAGCCCATGCAGGTACCTGAGATACGTAACAGAATTGGTTTAAGAAAGAGAGAGAGAGATAGAGATAGAGAGAGAGAGAGTGGGTATAGAAGAAGCAGAATCGGTTAACAGAAAAGATTTCGTACCATTCACATGCCTCTCTCATTGAATGAATTCCTTTAAATACACACTTTCCTTTCGTTCACGTGTGCTTCTCCGTAATGCCTTATCATGCGGATCTATTTCCACTTGGCCCCTTCCTTCCACTGTATTTTCTGTTATTTTATTTTTTGTAGCAATACCCTTCCCTTTAACATCAACCTTGCCCTCAAGGTTGAATTGAGGATAAGTGTGATGAAATTCTTCAAGATCTTCCCAAGTAGCTTCGGTGGCTTCAGTCGATTGCCACTGTATTAATACCTGTTGTATATCAGCATCATTACGTCTTATAACTCTTTGCTTGCAGCACTTTTGTAGGACTTAAGATTGGTCCAAATTCACTTGGTGGTCAAAGGTAAGGGTATGTATTGTTGGGAGTGGGTCCCTTCAAACTTTTTAAGCAAGGAAATGTGGAAAACAGGATGAATTCTAGGCTGTATCGGGAAGCCTCAACTTATAAGCCACTGAACCGATTTTCTCCACCACTTCAAATGGTCCAAAGAAACGCATGCCTAATTTTTTATTCTTTCTAAGAGCCACTTGAATGTTGTCTATAGGGCTGCAATTTGACTAATGCGAGATCACCAATGTGCAACTCGAAAATCTCTTCTCCTCTTATCTCGCCTGGAGCTTCATATAGTTTTGAGCCTTCATCAAATTGGCTTTGAGCTGATGTAAAACTTTGTCTCTATTGATTAAGGACTCTTGAATCGGAAGTGGATCTGTATTATGGACTTCATAAGGAACAAGCTGAAGGAGGTTCTCTCGCAAAACAGACTTTGAAAGGACTCATTTTTATGCTTGTGATGATAGGAAGAATTGTACCAAAATTGTGCCCGGGGAAGCATAGAGTACCAAAGCTTCGGATTTTCAAAAACATAACACCTCAAATACATCTCCAAAGTTTTGTTAAGTACCTCGGTTTGACCGTCACTTTGGGGATGATATGCTGAACTCATGGCCAAGGTTGTGCCTTGAGCTCTAAATAAATGTTGCCAAAATGAGCTAATAAAAATCCGTCACGGTCGGATACAATGGTTCCGGGAAAACCATGAATTTTTGCCACATGATCAATAAAAGCTTCAGCTACAGTTTTGCTTGTTAAAAGTGGATTTCAAGGCAATGAAATGACCAAACTTCGAAAGCCTATCCACTACCACCAGAATAGTAGAAAAACCATGTGAAGAAGGGAGATTTGTAATAAAGTCCATGGCTATATCCTCCCAAATCTGTTGAGGTATTGGCAAAGGTTGTAGCAGGCCATTAGGTAGAGCTTGGTCCACTTTAGCTTGCTGACATATACTACAATTTCGAATATAGGTCTTGATCTCTTCCTGCATATTTGGCCAATAAAATTGATTGCAGATTCTAGCTCTTGTTTTCGTATGTCCAGCATGACCCCCCACCTTGGAATCATGAAATTCGTACAGAATCATATTCTTCAATGTCGAATCAGCCGGTATCATTAATCTACCTCTTCTGAAAATCATATCATCTTTAACAACAAACTTGTCCAAAGGTAATGTACCCTTAGTATTTTGAATCAACAATTTACATAAATCTGCATCCTCTCTTGTCAGTTTCGGTATCTGCTCCAACCATTTAAATTGTGCTTCTGACCAAGCCATCAAACAACTTCTAGACAATGCATCAGCTGGTATGTTTTCTTTTCCAGGCTTATAATGGATAGTAAAATCATACCCTAAGAACTTAGGTAGCCACTGTTGTTGCTCAGGAGTTTGCAACTTTTGTTCTAATAATTCTTTCAAGCTTTTCTGATCTGTGTTAATGATAAATTTATTCCCCAACAAATAATGTCTAAACTTAGCCAAAGCCTCTGTTATGGCATAGAACTCCCTAGTATAAACAGATTGTTTCTGCATTCTAGGGGATAGTTTCTTGGAGAAATAAGCTATTGGATGGTGAGCTTGGCTAAGAACAGCTCCAATTCCTGACCCAGATGCATCAGTCTCTAAGATAAATGGCTCCTTAAAGTTGGGGATGGCCAGCACAGGCGCAGAAATCATCGAGTCCTTCAAGCTTTCAAAAGCTAAGGATGCCTGTTCATTCCAATTAACTGAGTCTTTCTTTAACAAATCAGTTAAAGGTGCAGCTATGGTTGCATACCCTTTGACAAACCGTCTGTAATAGCCTGTGAAGCCTAAGAAACCGCGCAATTGTTTTATTGTGGTGGGTTTGGGCCAGTTTTTAATAGCTTCTAATTTAGAGGTTTCCATAGCAACCCCATGGCCTGACAAGGTATGACCTAAGTAATCAATTTCCTTCACACCAAAGGAACATTTTGAAAGTCTAACGTATAAGTGTTGCTGCTGTAAAATTCTCAAAACCAGCTCCAAATTATATAAGTGATCATTCCATGTGGCACTAAATACCAAAATATCATAAAAAAAAACCAACACAAATTTTCTTAAGTATTCCTTGAAGATCTCATTCATTAAACTTTGGAAGGATGCAGGAGCATTAGTTAACCCAAATGGCATTACAAGCCATTCATAGTGTCCATGGTGGGTTCTAAATGCTGTTTTATGTCTATCTTCTGGTTTCAACAAGATTTGGTGATAGCCAGATCGTAAATCTAGCTTAGAAAAGAAAGTGGCTCCAAATAACTCATCTATAAGTTCATCAATAGTTGGAATGGGAAAGGTATCTTTAATAGTGATAGCATTAAGAGCTCTATAGTCAGTACATACCCTCCATGATCCATCCTTCTTCTTGACCAAAATTATTGGAGAAGAAAAAGGGCTTTTGCTGGGTTGTATTATGCCTTCATCAAGCATGCCTTGCACCAGTTTTTCAATTTCTTCTTTTTGACTATGCGGATACCGATAAGGCTTAACTTTGACCGGTTGGGATCCTTCAATCAAGGGAATGGAATGATCATGAAAACGCTGTGTTGGTAACGATGTTGGTGTCTCAAAAATCAAGCGGTAATTATGTAACAGCAAGGCCAATTCCGGTTCAATATCAGCAGATAATTCCTGAAGTGGAAACTGAGACAAACTCTCTTCAACCAACTGCATACTGAACACCTCTTCATATAAGAACTTCAGCTGCAACAACTCATAATCAGCAATGTGAGAGCCTATTGTTTTTAACCAATTGGCCCCCAATATCAAATCAGCTCCTGAAATTGGTAACAAAAAAACTGGTAATTCAAATTTAGCCCCTTGAACTTGAATATTGAGTTCTTTAATCATTCCTTCTGCAATCATGTAATTTCCATTCCCCACCATGACTTTAAACAGTGGTGCTGTTTCTATAGGCAATTTAAGAAACTTAGCAATCCTTGGCTGTAAAAAATTATCAGAGCTACCTCCATCCACTAATACTGTAACGGGCAAAGTATTAATATGAGCAATAAAACGAATGGTGCCAACCCCTACGCCGCCCTTCATAGCATTTAAAGACAAATGATGATTATCTTCTAATGGTACCTCAGTCTGTGTAAGCGTGCTTGAATTCACAGTGTCATTAACGTGATCAACTTCATAACTCTCTTCTTCACTTTGTAACATCAACAATTGCCTATTGGGACATTTGTGATTAAAAGTAAATTTCTCATCACAAAAGTAACATAAACCTTTTTCTCTCCTCAATTGCATCTCAGCCGGTGTAATTCTCTTTACATTTACATTTCTGGTTGGAGGAATGGGAGGTGTAGGTAACAGCGGTGGTAATGACTGCTTAGGAGCAATTTTTGCTGGGCTAGCATTGATACTGCTAGATGACAGAGAAGAATATTTGTGATTATAATTAGTAGCACGTTGTTGAACCAGAGGTGTATACTTATCTTCATATAATTTCGCCAAGGCCACTGCTCGAAGAAAATTCGTGGGACACTGGGCTACCACATCCCTTCTAATCTCACGATTCAACCCACTTAAAAAACAATGCAAAATAGCATCATCGCTAAGACCTTCAGAACGATTTGCCAGTGCCATAAACTTCAAATAATAATCCGAAACAGTTCCTGATTGTTGGAGCTTGAAAAGGTCTGCCATAGGAGAATCAAAAGGAGAAGGACCAAAATGACTTTCCAGAGCTCTTGTCAAATCGGACCATGTCTGTACAGCTGACATACGGTGCAACATTTGGAACCACGGAATAACATCCTTCTCAAAGTGAATTGAAGCGATATCCACTCGTTCATTGTCAGGAGTTCTGTGATAATTGAAAAATTTTTCTGCCTTGAAAATCCATTCTAACACAGGGTATGTACCATCAAAATGAGGAAATCCCAACGAAATCTCGCGTGCTGGTCGTGCAGAGTTATACGATTGCATTACTAGCGTTGATTTGGTTGAGTTCGAAGCATCAATGTGCGGAGTTGGACCTTGATTGAGCATATCCAACGATTTCTGCATCTGATCGATTCGGTCATTGTTAGCCGTTTGAAATTGAATGATCAATTCACGGTTTGCCTTATCCCTTTCCGGTTGTTTCTCAATCCAGCTCAAAATCGAAGTAAGCTGGGCTTGCATATCTTTCATCCTTGTGTTCTCTGCCATTGATGTCGATGAAAGCACCAATGTAACACGTAAAATGCAATGAACAGTAAAATAACAATTGAAACAGAGACAACCAATGGAGCAGCGAGATGGAATTGTATTGAGTTTGGTTTACAAGGAATTAGAAATAGAAATCATAACAAGATAAAAAGTAGAATTCCAGACGTCCCATGCAGCCCATGCAGGTACCTGAGATACGTAACAGAATTGGTTTAAGAAACAGAGAGAGAGATAGAGAGAGAGAGAGTGGGTATAGAAGAAGCAGAATCGGTTAACAGAAAAGATTTCGTACCATTCACATGCCTCTCTCATTGAATGAATTCCTTTAAATACACACTTTCCTTTCGTTCACGTGTGCTTCTCCGTAATGCCTTATCATGCGGATCTATTTCCACTTGGCCCCTTCCTTCCACTGTATTTTCTGTTATTTTATTTTTTGTAGCAATGAGTTTATATAATATATAAATGGTTTATAATAAAATGTTGTACCTCATTTGTTCTTTCAACAATTAGTAATATTACACAATAAATTACATATGAAAAAAGGGTTTAACATAAACAAAAGATCTTACACTAAAAATTTGTCCAACAATAATTTTTCATACGAATCATACCATGCCACTTTTCTACTCATGCTTGAAAATATGTAAGAGTCAGTCCATCATAATTATCCTTTTTATAAAAAGAAAGAGATATGGGTTTGGTTGGTCGAGTGAAGAGCCAAGATTGTGACCAGACACAAGGTTGTCTTCTTTCAGACAAAAAATGTCCAAAAAAAAAGAGGTTGTTTAAAATTCTGTACTCAACTTCCCTACACTGTGCAAGATTTTGTTCTACATTTTAAAGGTACTCATGTCACCACGCATCTCAATTTATATTCTTAATTTTTTTATTGCAACTTTAAAATGTGATTGGCTTGAATGTCACTTTAAACCCACATTTTCTATGTGGATCTAAATAAATTGCTGCACAAATTCTTCTAGATACTTTACTTACAAGTCAATTATATATTCAATAATGGACCCCTACCAGTCAATATGCTGTAGTCAAATTTCGTTCAAAATTATGTTCAATTACATTCTTCTATTATTTAAGAATGTTTGTATTATTGCAAAAAAACATTATTATATCTTTAAAAATTAAAATCAAGTTGAATAAAATAAATAAATGGATTATAAACATACAACTTCTAATCTTAAATAAATACATTTATGAAATCTTATTCCAATCAAACTAGAAAATCTTAGAATAATAAGACCAATTGCCTGAAAATTATTTATGAAAGGTCTCTTAAATAAGTAAAAATATCAAAATTCTATAAATATAAATAATAAACATTAAATCTTCTTCTCCATTGTGCATAATTACTTTTCCTAAAAAGAATGAATTGGGAGAGAGAAAGATACTGTATTCATCCAACAAGTCACATACCCAACACTAGTTACTTAGTTGAAAATGTATAACAAAAAATTGGACAAAGTATCTATTGGACCAACACAATAAAATCTCAATTTCATATAACTTTTTCCATAATAAAACAATTATATTTTTTTATATAAAATATAAAAATGGATTATTTTAAAGAGACAAAATGGGTTTTATTAATGAGTAATTAGAAAGAGTTTATAAGTATAGAACCATTTTTTCATAAAAGATATAATATCAAGATTATTTTTCAAAGACTTATACCAAAGTCGTGATGGATGATAAGTTTAAATTTCTCAATAAAATAATTGAGAAAAAAATTATTTAATTTAATTTTTTTAGTTTTTAAAAACAAATTTAAAAATCAATTTTAAAAATTTATTATTTTACAATAAATTGAAAAAATTGATAACTTTATTTTAAATTAAAAAATGGTATAAATAAAAAAAATTGACGAAATTTAGAAAGTAATTTTGATAAAAGTTATAAGACACAAGAACACATTCTCTTCAACCATAGACAAAAAATATATTTTTTCCTCCTTCTCTCAACCTTCTAGTCATGTCTAACTTCACTGACCATACACAATTCTTTATTTTTATTTTTTGAAACAGAAACCATTAATGAGGGCAAGAATGGATTAAGGAGAAAATGTATGTTAGCCACTATAAACAAAATTACAAAATTAATTAACTTTCAAACTTTATTATCCAACTTTTGGGTTTATATTTATCTTATTTCATAGTTGAGCTCTTGATTTGTTTCATGCAACAATAGAGAATAAATTTTAAGATGTGTTTTATTCTGGTTGAATATTTTTATATAGAATCTAGAAAAAAAATAGTATAGTACTAAATAATAATAAATTAGAGATAATGTATAAATATATAATAAATATTTTATATCAAATATGATCGAATATTAATCGGATGGTACAAACATATTTGATAGAAACAAGAATATTTGGGCTTTGATTTACATGATAACATTTAATTTTTTATTTATTTATTTGATTAAGTTTTATTTTCAAATTTTTAAACACATTGCATTTGTATCACATAACGTGATATAAGATAAATAAGACAATTACAGTATTCTTTATTATCATCTCCCTCATTTATTCGACGAGTAAATTACTGCATAACCCATATATCTCTACAATTAAAAAAAAATGAAAATACTAAAATCGAGAGATGATAACAAGAAGAAGAAGACAAATTTACACACACACAAAATATGAAGAGTAAAATTCATGAAATTAAAAAAGAACGAAAATCGAAAATGTAAGTCAAAACATTATTTGTTGACTATGAAGCATAACAGGAATTTGAGGCAGAAGACAAACATAAATTCCAAAACAACAAACAAAACGCAAAACAATTATCAGAGTTAATAAATGTTAGCTTCTCAAAATATAAAATTATAAAAATTAGCATGGTGAGAGAAAAAAGTAAAACGATGATAAACATTTCTAATAAATTTGTAATCATGACGTAATGAAATGGGAGATCTTACCTTAGATTGGGAAGATACCCTTTCTAAAGTTTGAAACAAAACAACCGAAAAAGATGATTTGAAATGGAAGATGGTTTGAAATCCCTTGACCCAATTTGGTGGTTGCTAAAAATAGGAGATAGATGGTGCACTTTCGATGCATTAGTTGGTTGAGTTAGAAACTTGTATACAAATGAAGCCATGTCCAACAACACTCTACTTTCCAGAAACATTAATGAGCATCATATTGTTATACCTAGATATTGAACCCCCTGATTTTGATGCAGTGGCAATGAAACCAAAAAGCTGGCAAAGACTGAAGTTCATTTAATAAAGTGGGTGTCATGTCAAAAACTATAATCAATGAAACTGGGGCCTGAGACCAATCTTACAATCACTTCACTAGAATCATTGACTTCTTTTTCTTTCTCCACATATATACTAATTTACATATCGATCAGAAGGTACCCTGCTTAATTCATCTACTTTCTTTACTACAAACCAAAAACTTGGTTAATTGATCTGCAAAAATTGGAACCCCAAACTCAAACATGCAGTGGCACCAAGCAGTGACATGATGATAATTTGCGACAAACCAAATCAGTCATGCCAGCACAAGAGTAAGACAGTGCATCTCCAAATGATGTAAAGCCTGGTCCTCTGTTGGCGAATGTACTTGGAACACCGTCCCCAAGGTCGAAGCTTGGAAGCCCTAACTGACGAGAACATGGCAGTAGTTGATGTCATTGAAACTTAGTTTGGTGGGTGTTGAAGGGTTGAATTGAATGTGAAGGTTGAGGTTGTGGTCTCAAGGGTGAGAATAAAGCATGGTGGTATATATATATATATATATATATATATATATAGGGGAAGGGGTTGCAAAGGTTTGAGATATGAGTGAAGGGAGTTTGTGGTGGATTGCATATTGTGGCCCATGGGTTCAGAGATAGGACATGTCCCACTGTCCACCTAAGATATCTAAGTGACACCTATGAACTTGTCTCCTTATCGCCAAACCCATTTGAGAAGGACTTCTCATCCACTTCTACTAAGTAAGCCTCTTCCTTGTCCCCTTCCATCAATGATCACTTTCCCTTAACTTTTGTACCATGCTTCTGCATCTATTCAACTACTATACTCTTCCTACTACACTGTTTCTATATTTATCTCTTCAACTTTTCTTATAAGTATGCAACAACTTTCTTCATTATTACTTTTCATTGAAAAATCTTACTTATATATCATCATTGATTAAATATCTCTCTTTAACTTCCTTTTTCCATTTATGATATCAGAATCCAAACCTGTGTCTAATTTCACGGAAAATAACCAGAAATTTTTTAAGATCATACAGCTGTTAACAGGGAATCAACATATATATAATAATATATTCATTCTTTCCAAGTATAAAGGGACTACTTAAGTTAAGTTTGTGATATCTGGTTCAATCATGTAGTTGAATAACATACATATATTATTAAGAAGATTTTTTATAATGCTGAGAATCTATTTGTTCATCTGTCACATAATGAGAGGAAGCAAAGGGGATAAAGATTATCTACAGACTACAATTATAGGCAATGTGAAGTAAACATTCAAACATTATATAAGATTTTCTTTTCTTTTCTTTCTTTTTTCAGACGAAAAAAGTTTGTAAAATAAGATAATATAGATGTGTTAATAACTCTTGATCGAGGTTATTTAAGTTAATATATTTTATTTCAAATTTAGTTCCGACTATTAGCAGAAAAATAAACCAAGTTCACTAACAAATCATTTTGTTTTTTTATTTTTGAATCCAACTATTTATTAGGTTAAACAATGTAATTTAAACTTAACGTTATGTTTGTCTTAATTAATAATTTTAGTTGCACAAACATGTATATTATCAACCAACAAGTAAATAACTTACAATGTATTGGGAATCCTTAGAGAAAAAAAAAATCATATTATCACGTATAATTTACAAATAAAAATAAAATCTGTTTGGTCGGTATATATAAAAGAGAAATAATACACAGACCATAAAAAAAATATTTAACAATTTTTTCCTATATAATCATAATAATAAAAATATATTTTTTCTATTTAAAGCAGACTACGTTACATAATTGGATGAATACATTCATCGATAAAAAAATCGTATATATACGATAATTATAGGTATTATAAGTGATGATGTTTCATACACGATGAACAATGATTACTTGTGGACAAATATATTAATAATTATGTTCAATTCGAGAAATATCTTATATATGTTCACCAGATTGTATATTGAAAATGCACGTAAAATATGATATATCAAATAATGCACACTCATTTATAACATGTGTAGCAAATTACCTCATATTTCTACATCACTGCAACGAAATTATATTTTAATATCTTTAGTCAAATAATTAAGAGGATTTTGCAATGTTAAGGGAAAAAACAATAATTGTTTAGCAACTATAATATTCTAAAACGACAATAGGATATTTTTACCTGTGCCAATTGCTGCATCCCATTCATACCTTTAAATTTTAACTTTTTTTTTTAATATTATTATTATTATTATATATTACTCTTAAAATTATATAACTACAAAAGTAGTTTATAATATATGAAAATTAATCAAATGCATTGGTAGTAAAAAGAAAAATCATACTATTCAGGATATATTCTTTATTTTTTTTAATAATTCTTGTATCTAATACGTTAAAGTAACATTAGGTTATAATTAATTATTGTTTTAAATTTAGACATTGTACAGAGGACATTTAAGTATTAGCAACTTTCAAAATAAATTGTCCCCATGAATTGAAATAAAAATCTAAAAAAAAACAGTTAATTAAAGAATTTTTTTATTTAAATTGAATTAAGTTAATTCAAAAGAGAATTATCAATTATTTAATAAGATCTAGCATTCTTGAATTAAAAAAAAAATTATAAAATTTAAGTTTTGTTTGAGATTAAATTATTAGAATTTCATTATTTATTATTGGATACGAGTTTAATGATTTAAAAGAAACGAACAATCGTAAATTTTTTTCACATACTCAAATTCTAGTTTATGATATAAAGTGATTTTACGTTATAAATAGTAGTTATTTATAATTTATCTAAAAATTCAAATAAAAAATAGATATACTTTGGACACAATCATACCATTTTTTATGACTAATAATAGTTATCATTATTTAGTGAAATTAACAATATCTTTTAATTAAAATTGTGTATGAAATATTTTAACTCCTTTGAGTTAAAGAAGGGGACAAACCAAGAATTATAGGGTTTGAAGAGCTTTATTTTTGTCCCTTGATATTATTCTATAACCTTTAGCCTCGCATAAAAGACAAAAGTTAATGTGCTCACAATGTTTGGATGAGTTTTTTTCACAAGTAATTCTATTAAAAATAAAATAAAATGAATTTTTCTTTTAATTAAACTTAACGTTCATACACGATACTTTCTAAAATTTTTCTTATATAGTTTTTCTAAAAACAGTATAGAGATTAAATATGTTTTTATTTTTTTAATTTTCATCACACTTTATTTTGGTTCATACATTTTAAAAATTGATCATTAATCCTCGAATTAAAAAAAAATATGAATTATCAACTTTGTTATAGAAAAATATTCCTAAATATTAAATTTAAGGATAAAAAATAACTCAAATTACATTTAACTATTTTTTATATTAAAATTATGTATAAAAATATTAAAATCATATGTTTTTAAAATTTTGAGAACCTATGAATTTAAATTACAATTAACGAAGATAAGTTTGAGAAAAAAAAATACAGAGATCAGAATATATTTTTCTATTTCTAATATAAATTTGTGTATATATTTATTTTTATTTATATAAAAGTTTTTTTCTTTTTTAAAATACTTAAAAAAATATTTATAAATTTTTTTAAAGTTTTATTTTAATTAATATAAAAATTTATTTTAGTTTATAAAAAATTATTTCATTTATTTTCACTTTTAGGGTTAGTTATAGAGGAGTTATTTCCAACAAACATGATATTATTCTTATACAAACAACCCTAAGTTTGTAATAATAGTATCTAATTAATATACTTAAACGATTGGAAACTATTCATCTAATACTAATAACCCTAGGTTTGTAATAAGATTTAATATACTTAAGAGATTTGAAACTTAGACAAGTTATAATTTTGATACCATTCAATTAGATTCATCTCTAGATATAATGTAATAAACATTATTATTTCTGAGCATCGGCAAAATGAGATATTTGAGCATCATGGTTCAAAAGACGACTAATTTTGACCCTTAACTTGGTGTAGCGTGTACCACAACACGAGTGAGAAAATAAAATCTTGAGAAGACATGAATATGTGGAGGGAGGAATGGAATCTTGGAGACACAGAGACCAATGGTAACGCCATAGATGAATCTATCTATCTATCTGTGTCTATCGTTTCATGCTCATGTTGTTGAATGTGACTGTGAGAAGACACATGCATTTCGTTTCCACACGAGGTCAGAATATACGAATCATCATTCTAAGTCACTCATCACCACTTCTTATGCATGCCCACAGTAGAGTCCACAGTCACGTGTACTGTGTCGCTGCGTGTCAGAACCAAAACCTTGTCACTCTCAACAAAGCTTGCCGGAACCCATCACACCACGTCCAAGCTTACTTCAAACTACAAAGTGGTGCTCTCACAACAACTACCATTTTATTGCAGGTCCCACATCGGTTTTTCCAAAACTAGTGAGTGTATTGGCCAGACTGTAAGATTTATTGGGCTCAGTCCAGTACACGTGTAAGGTAGGCTTCGTTCCCGGGCCCACGTTCATGCTTCTGTCATTGAAGTTGAAATTTCACCTCCTACTGTGTAAAATGTACATATGTTGATGAATTTATCTGAAACTACTAAAATAAGAAAACTGATGAGATAATTGAATGATTGTAATAATATAGCTATTGGTATCATGATGGGTCACATGGTTCAGCTGCAGTCATTGTTGATATATTTCTTCATCAGTGAGATGGTTCAGTGAATTATTTAGGGAGGTTTATCTGAATAGGAGTATCACAAAAGATAAGATGGTAGTGGTGCAGTAGCATCATTGTCTACCCTTCGGCTATGCGACACTGACACTCCCCATAATGGAGTCAACACCCAAAAAGAAAATTATAATTCAGTTCCTCTCCTTTTCCATCTGAGTGGTGATGAAAATATATGAAAATCTCTTCTCAAAATAACACCAAAGTAATCAAATTCTGAGAACACCTTTAACCCTCATTCATTACAACCCAATGAGAAGAGAAGAGTATATATATATATATATATATATATATATATATATATATATATATATATATATATATATTCTTGATAGATTTGGTAAGGAATATTCGACCATTTGTTAAAAAGTCGATTATGAAGTTTAGTTTTAAATTAATTATATTTACAAATAAAAATAAATCTATTACTTATCTTGATTTAAGCAAATTTTAAACTACTTATATTTAGAAGAAGAAAAAAATAGAGGAAATAATAAACAATGCATCTTCCTGCACTGTAATAGCCGAGGCCATGATTAACATTAAATGCATTTAGTATTTGATACATGACAAGATTCTTGTAAACATGCAACTAAACTAATGTCCCATAATTAATGTTTAAAAACGATTTACATCACAAAACCAAAACAGAATTCTAACATAATAAACACGAAAAATACCTAGACATGAAATATATAAGAAATCATCACTAGAAGAGACATCTACAAATATACATTCCTTATGTTTCAATCAACTTCAACAAGAGCACCGATTTGAAGTGATTGTAGAGTCTTTCAAGCCATCCCCAATGCCATCTTGATGTCATTCTGTAAAGGCAACAAGGAACAACATATGAGAGTAATTTCATGTTTCAAGAGCTACACACATCAGCATTTTTCACACTTGAATACCAAGCCAATAGCCACACATTCACACAAGAAATTACTGCATATTCTTAGAGAGCCATGTGAGATTTCTCATTCCATTCATATGTCGACATCTTAGCCTTTAGTCATCGTACAAGGATGAGACGTCAAAATCAAAATGGAATGAGGTAGTCATACACAAGGGCTCCATGGAGAGAAAGAGAGAGAGATAGTACTTCAATGGACAACGGTGAGGTGATTGGAGCATAACGCCGGAGGACATGCCCATCCTTGTCAACCAAAAACTTGGTGAAATTCCACTTTATCCTAGAACCCAAAAATCCTGGTTTATGTGCTTTAAGGAATTTGTAGACAGGTACTGTATCGGGTCCATTGACACGTACCTGCAAATAAAAGGAATTTAGTATATACGGTTAACAACATGATGCTAAATAATGGAAACTATAGCCATATGTAGTAATAGAGCAATAGCAATTATGCAAAATAAATAATTAAATTTAGACTCGAAAGAGTATTACTCAATCATCATTTGTAAACATAACCACACTCCCACATTTGGCATCTACCAAGTCTTCATTGCTTTCAAAAACTAGATGCCAAAAGCAAACACAAGAACAGATTTTCCTATCTCTTTTCCTTCAATAAATTTTATGTGGCTCGTTTGACAATACATAGTAGACCTTTTTTTTTTAATAAACAAAGAATCTGTTAAGAGCAAGTCACAAAATCGGAGGATAAGAAATCCTCAAGAGGAAAATAGATAGCAGAGAAGGCTAAAAGGTGATAGAAAAAGGCAAAATAAATAAAAGATCACAAACCATGCAAAAAAACGTGTTAATCTCTCAGAAGATCTAACTAAGACACTCCCCTCAAAAGAACATTAACAAAACACCCCAAGGAAGCTAAAGAATGTACTCCCTGATAAGCTCAAAAGACCCTCCCGTGAAAATTCTAGCATTTATTTCCAACCATGTACACCGATGGACTGCAAACTGAGTGCAGTGCAAAGCTCTGGCACATCCTTGCCTTTATTTAATAGAAGAAAACTGTAACTCTAGACCTGTCCCTCACGTTCGGGGACCAATCCACTAATGTTATATGACACAATTTCCAAATAACAGTACAATTAAGATAAGTGTAAAACATGGCACGTTGTCTCAATGCTCTTTTAGACTTTATTTCAAGTCAAATAGTAAGAAACTAAAGTATATGACACTGAAACATTCGTATTTTAATGAGACAACCCTTTTTCTCCAAAATTCAATATCCATAAAAACAAGGAAATTTCTGGCACACATAACACCTTGAATATAGCAAACCCAAAACTCTAGTAAGTCAGTTTGCTGCTCTTATTCCTTTGACACAATGGTCACATGAGATTTTGAGCCTACGATCTCTTACTAACTATCTAAATCACTTTCCATTAGACCTATCTTAGCAGCCTGCATAGCAGCCTTTATGGACCTGAGTAATAGTTTTCATGTTTCCATTTAGAGCATCTTCTTGAAAACCATCTCTCACCAGTCGCCAACTGAGGTTCTATATTTTACAGTAAACTTAGACCAATGACTAGTCATCTAAACCAATTATAAACTCAATAAAGGCACACTCACAGAACAATAAGTCACAGGAAAACAATACCTAGGGTCTGATTTTCAGAGACACAACCATTGGCAATATCTTACCTCATAGTAGAAGCCCAATGTTTCTTGAATTTGGCACAACCCGACTCCATAAACATGATTAATATTTCATCCCATCAAACTAGCATTGCCCAGACCATCAGATATATATCTTCAAGCATATTATTAATATTTTATTTATTTTTACTCTTTTGGTTTCTTACCATTTTCTTTACATCCTCCTAGTGTAGACAGACAAATAACAGGCGTGTGGACTTTGTAATTCTAAGTTCATGCAGATTATAGATTTATTTTTAATCCAGAAAACTTCTTACTATTTTCTTTCTTATCCTATACCCTGATCAAATAGATTCAATCGACACAGAGTTTACTTTTACTATGGTTTCAAGATAAAACTGTGATGATGTCTTTAGCTTCAGAGTAGTAGTAGCCCTTGAAATTCCATGAGAAAGCATAACAAGGAAATAATGCCATCGCTTCAATGGGTACCTACTTATGGCATCGCATTAAGCAAAATATTGGAACAATAGCTCCCACTGCCAAAAAATGGCAGTTTTACTAGATGTAGTTCGTGTTGCCAACTTGCCATAGCAGCATGCTTAAATCCAAATCCTCACTCTCAGCCTACAGCGAAATATGTCTCCGTTGTTTTGTTACTTAGCTAATAATACCAGCAATCCTTTACATGGGATTTCACAGCAACGGCTCATTTGTCAAGAACTCAAGAATTATATAGAGTTGCCTATTAGCCACAATGCTATCAAGCAATTTTTCACTAACCAATGTATTCGTCATGCTCACTAGCCCTAATAAATATTAAAAACGACACAGAACTAGACGTCTAGATCATAGTTTTAACTTTTAAATGATCCTACAGGGTATTCAATAGACTCAAGCAATACGGCTTGTTTTTCCTTCCCATTTGAAAAATACTAATGACTACGAAGTTAAATCCACTGAATCAAACGGCAGTTAATTACAAAATAGATTAGAAAAACAAAACCAAAAAGCTCAATTTGTTATGGCCTTTCTATTCAAACATCTAGGACAGAAAAACAACCAATCGAAGATCCGAATGCCCCGCACAAACAACCTGAATCATACACACCTTTCCAAAAATGGGATACTCTGCCTTGAACCTTGTACAGGCAAATTGCTCTGCGTCCTGGCTACTCCCGGGCTCTTGCTTCAGAAATTGGTTGCATGGAAATGCTAGTATCTCCAGACCTGAGATCAAACACAAAAACATTCTCAAGTAAGATCAGTTAGAGAAATTCCTTTTAGGCCCTTCAATCTAACCAAGTTCAGAAGTAATTGGTCACTGAAAAGTCACAAATTTAGAATCCACGAACATGCTGGTCCAACAACTGCTCTTAAACCTAAAAACCGTACCTTTGTCTTTGTATCTGCTATAAAGCTCTGTTAACTGGGTGTAATTGGTATTCGTAAATCCGCTGTAACTCACATTCACAGAGTTAATCGGCTCACCCAGGAGCAATAAAAGGAAAAAGGGAAAGAAAGGATGAATTTTTATAGCAAACAGAAAGAAAATTGAGTTAGAAAAAGGGAGTGTGTAAAAATACCATTTTGAAGCGACGTTAACTACCAGAAGAACCTTCCCCTTGTAGGTGGTGAGGCTCACGTCTCTGCCCTTAGCATCCTGTGCCAACCATGACCCATATGGTAAGAGATTTCTATAATATTTTTCAAAACCAAATAATAAAATAATAAGATTTTTCATTGAGATTCTGAGTGACTCCTCTACCTTGACCGTGAATTCATGGATGGATTTTTCCGAGACGGATTCACAAGCACCCATCTCTGGAACAGGTGAGAGAAGACTTTTGCACGACTTCGTCTCTCCTTCTGCTTTATTAATCTTGATGGTAAACTCTGTCTATGTCAATATTTTGGGTTTAACAATTAGTACCACGCTCTGTCTCTCTCTCTCTTTTAACGCTCTTATTTATAACCTTCTCACTTCAGCTTTCATTCAATAAACTCGCGGTTCCAACCAGGAAAGTGGACCACTTTTGCCTTTTTTTCATGATTAAAGTTGGCAAACCTTCCCCACCTTCAGCAGTTTTTAGTCAAAAAAGTTCAAGAATTTAAAAACACTTCACAGTAATCAATATTTTAGTTTGTTGTTTCCTATTATTACATAGTATTACTGTCTTGCATTTTATGTGTTTGAAGTTTTAAAAAAAAATAGAAAATACAGTACATTTAATGTTAATAAAATAGTTATGAGAATTTTTATTTAATCTTTTCTAATTTTACATTTCAGTAAACATACATAAATTAGTTAAAAATAGATGAAAAAAATAGTATATTTAAAGAAAATATTAACGCTGTCTTAAAACCGTTATTTAAATCTTAAAAGGAATGACAGTTTCTCTTGATCATCTCTGATGCCAGTGCAGATTCTAATATATATACTCAGTCAAAGAAATATATAAAAAACAATACAAATTACTTCTTCTTTTTTTTTTTTTTAATTGAAGAGCGGTTACTATAGACGTAACCGACAATATTCTTCAGAGGATAAACAACCCAACCTGTAAAGTGCTCTTAGAACTTGAAATTATAACACAGCCTTCTACTTCTAGGTAAAGAAAAGCAAGAAATAAATTTGATTTTTACTCTCTTTTTTTTTTTCTTTCTTTCTCTCCGAATAAGAGAGGAAGCGGTTGTTTATTTTCACGAGACTGTTATTCAAATCTAGGAAGTGCAGAAATCGATTACGAGCGATAAAGATGACTTGAATTTGATGATTTGCACCTTCTACACCCTTGAGAGTTAGTTGGAAAGAAAGATTATTTAAAATATATTTACAGATTTATTTTATTCAAAATATGTATTTTATTTAAACATAGACTAAATTATATTATTATATAAAAATTAAATATATTTTAAATTATTTTGAAGCATATTTTTTTAAAAATTAATTATTTTTAATTTTTGGATTACTTTTATCAAAAAGAGAAATATAAAAAAGAAAAAAATACTAAAAGAGAAAACTTTATGAGGTGTTAAATTCTAATTAAATATGTATTTACTTCTGTAAATTAAAATGAATTTTTTTTTGTGATAAACTGAGGTAATGTATTTTTATTTCTTCTAGAATGTCGTTTGATGCGGAGTTAAAATTAAAAAGAACTAATAGAGTTCTTTTTAATATTTTTTTCATTCATAAAATTTATTTGTTCAAAATAAATAGAAAAAATAGGAAAATAAATAAATAAATAAGAAAAAATTATGGGATTTTAGTACTTCATTAAATTAACTTTTATTTTTTAATTCTTTCTATGAAACCAATTATAAACTTTTTCTACTTTTTTTTTTCAATTCAAATAATTATATTTTTTTTACTCTCTTAAATTCATTGTCTAAGGAAATAATTTTCATACCCACTTTCCTGTAAATGGTTTAGACATAATTACACTTCTTTATAATGCTAAAAAATTCAATTCTGAATTTTGAGATGAAATTTTAAAAATGAAGAAAACAAATAACATTTTTGCTTATTTCCACTAATAAAGTTTCTTAGTACACAAAAATGACTTTGGAAAGTCAAGAATTTTAGACAAAATAGAGACAGGTGCCACAGAAGTTACATCAAAACTATTATAGTACAGTTAAATCATTATAATGAGTTTTAAAAGATGTTTTTAATAATCTAATCATTACAATAAATATCTTACCGTTTTTATTCCTTAAGTCATTTATATGTTTCTCCTTTGTCTTGTAGTTTAAGATTTAATACACAGTATGTAATGAAACTTTTTAAATACGCCACCAGTAATAGTACCCACTTACTGAACATCTAGCGTAAATGACAAGCAGACATTTCCTTATATGATGACACAGATGGTTATCCTCGCATAGCATATGGTTCACATTGTGAAGGAATGGGCGAAATATCATGAGGGATTTTTTAGAACCACAGAGGATTTTAATTTATTCAAATTTAAAAATAAATACATATTTATGGCTTCGCTTGTAAAGATATATTTCCAAGGAAGTTTTTAAAAAAATGATAATGCTGACAGCTGGGCATGCCCTTCATGAGAGGGAACACGTGCATAGTTGGACATACCAACAACCTTAATAAATTCTAACAAGCGATTGAGTGGCTAGAAATGGCCCCACATTTGAATGTTAGGCCATGGTTCATCAACAGCCATCAAATTAGATACTCAGAATGTGCATGCATGAGAAAAGGCATTTATGAGAAGTATATAAATAATGCGAACACTCGACAAGAAAACAACTAACTCATCTTGGTTAGCCCAGGGGAGTTTTTTCTATATTATAAAACAACTTCAAGAAAAAGCCCTTGAAATTTTTTTGTATTTTGATCCAACATCTGAATGGGCTTCCTTGAAATAAATTATATAATCTGCAACAAAGAATTTGATACGTTGACAGCCTAGAGATAAGTTACAGTTCTCCAACGACTGTACAATGACTCTTCTTCCTGCTCTGCATTTTGCAGAAGAGGCTGCAATATATATGTATATATACAAATCTAGGAGATTATGAACCATATTCATATTCTGTGCAGTTTCTGCGGAACTCTATAAAGATTCTTTCTTGCATGTACAAAAAGATGGAATAAAAATCACCTCTTCTAAACAAAGGCAGGGCCCACGGCAAAAAGTGGGTTGTCTATAACGTTCAATGAGTGAATTATAAGTAACAATGGTTACTAATTGGTGAAGGATCACCAAAGAAGCCTACAAGATAGACAAAAGTATGCCAGCCTTCATTTATTGGTAATTTCTCTTCACCTTGGCTGCCAAAAGCTTGGGCCTGAAACATAATTATCTTAAATCTCAATTCAATATTTTCAAGTAATATTTCAGAATACCAAGAATAAGCACATAAAAAAAAAAAAAAAATTTCATGATTGACGAAATTCTGTCATCAGAGGGGGTATATACCTCGGTTTGCAACTGGAATTGCATCTTCATAGTGAGGTCTAAAAGGCAAGGAGTCCCTGTAATTCATTGGTGGGGGAGGAAATCTCCATCCAGGACCTGGAAAACTAGCTGGTTCACTTGGATGACAACCATAAGGACCAGTCACAGCTCTGTCATGATACCGAGGACCTGAAAGAAGAAATCCCAAGAATGATAATAACCCAAGCAAAGCTACGCATGGCTGCCACCTTCACCTAAAAAATCACAATTCAAAAGCGCTCAGCAGTTATCAGTCTTACCAGTATAAGGAGGAGCATTCCATGTCTCTTGGTAATCATATGAAGGTGGTTTTATTCTCTCATGATTGTCATAACCAAACTCTCTCTGCATGCTCGGCACAAAGTGGTAACCATTGGAATATGGAGGGGGTGGCAGAACCTCCCTTTGAGACTTCATACGAAGTTCCCCATGAACAAAAGAAAACTGATTGGATGGCACATGGTGAGGTGGTGGTATCGAGTAACCTTTATTATTCATAGTAACACCATCAGTATTCCTGGAAATGTCAGTTTGTTGTATAGGTAGAGTGTTGAAAGAACAAGTAGACTTAGGCAAGTTCATTGGCATGTCTCTACATTCATGGACAGTATACTGCATTGCATCACTGACAGGTTGACTATTTCTTGATTCAGAGAAGGGCTGAGCCATAGGATGCAGTACATTGGCTTTCACAGTCTGCAAAAATGAACCAAATCCCAAGTAGCAAGGAAAAGGTTTATAACATTAGTTGTCACATGATTCCACTGAGTTTAAAAATCCCAAATAAAAAAGGTGTGAAGCATACCAGTGAATCTTCAAAACCTTTTGAATCAACTGCAACATGATATTGATCAGAGGTAGCAGAAGTGAGGTGCAAAGTAGGAGGTGGGGGTGCAGGTTGAGGGAGAGGAGGAGGAGGTGGCGGTGGTTGCGGTGGAGGGGATGATGGTGGAGGCGGGGAAGACGGTGGCACATCTTGTGGTAAAGGAGGAGCAAAGGACATGGGAAGATTCTTCTCAAACTCTGGGGCATTTATTTTATCTACATTACAGATCGAATTTGATTCAACATTTACCGAAGGAGCCACATCTTCCATTTCAAGCTCACCATCAACATCTTCCAAAACATGCCTCCGTTTTTCAATTGCATGAGCCATTTCTTGCACTTCATGCGTTTCAGAATCGTGCTCAGGTGTGACAGCCTCAAACTCCCCTCCATCAGAATCGCTTCCTCCATCTTCAAGCATTCGAGGCATGCAAAATCCAGGTAGCTGAAAACTTGAGTTGCTGCAAGACCTAATGCAACTTGAGTAAACACACTTAAAGAAGTAGGAGAAAATCATGGAGTCAATATTTTATGCGTCACACCTTCCATATTCGTCAAGCATGCCCTCCATGTCTCTGACAGGGTCATCAAAAGGTCTCTCTCTTCTTAATGAACGGCGTGAGAAGACACCTGCAGAAGCAGAAGTGCTATGCGAGTCTAGTTCCCGCATATGATGCCGAATAATGGGTTCAGGAAGGATTTTTCTCTCTAACCATAGCCTTAATACCTACATGATATGGAGGAAAGCTTAACAGGAATAATGACACAAAAAATATTTATAGGGGAAGACTCGAGAGGATCTATGTTTAACTTGAGTGAACAGGAAAAAATTCATTAACTTGCCTTTAGACACTGGCGACGATTTTCTTTTGCAGCATTTCCAGGAGGCGCAACAGCAGACAATAGCCGTGGCAGCACTGCTTTCATAGCAGATGGATATACTCCACCAATGTCTCCTGGAAAATATTTATTATATATTTTCAAGATCAACAAAAACTAAAGACATAATTTCTGATATGTTACAGCATCA